CCACCGGACCAGCCCAAGGGTTTGGATCCCACATACAGACCGGCCACTCACTGGCTGAGTGAGGTACAGGCGCGACACTGAGGGTTGCGATCCATTGCCGGTCACGAAAAAAGACAAAAAGGAAAAAAAAAAAAAAGCCCCCTGCCCGGTCATGTTTTCCCAAGAAGAGCCTCATAGTTGGTAGCAGAAATGCCATTTGCAGGATGAGGAGGTAGGAAAGCTGTTAGCACAACGGACAAGACTCTGGATGTATGAAAAACAGGTGTGTAGGTTAAAAACCACGGGATCGTTTGGTGCCCAGGCTCCCAGCAGCCTCAGCCAGTTCATACATGTCTAGCAGCTTCCAGGCTGCAGGACGCACCAGCCCAGTTAAAGAGGCTTCACTTGCCCTTTTTTCCAAGAAGAGGAAGCTGCCAGCTCTCATTCTGCTCACTGTGAAAAGCCTTTAATTAATCTCTTCAACAAATTATTTCCTAATCTGCAAGCCTTGGTTACACTTTCCTCACATTCCTGCCTGACTCTTAACTGCAGCCCCTTTCCCTGGCCAGTGTGTGTTCTGCTGGCTGCCTGTAGGAGACCCCGCTTGAGAAACACCAGGCGGAACAGCATTTGTGGGCAAGCGGGGCTGACCGCGGTGACAGCAGCCTTTCCAACAGCTGTGTCCATTCCCCCATGTGTAGACAGACCAGGGCGGAGTCTTGACCCGGGTTCCACAGGTCTCCAAGGGTTCTGTCAATTGCTTCAGGGGGTCAGTGAAAATTAGGAAATTTTGTGGGTGGCCATGTGTATCAGTCCATTTCTGTTGCTTATAACAAAATACAGGGAACTGGGTGATTTATAAAGAAAATGAAATTTATTGCTTACACTTTTGGAGGCTGGGAAGTCCAAAGTCCAGGGAACACATCTGGTGAAGTGACTACAGCAATGCAGGGTGTCATGTGGTGAGAACGGAGGAACAGAAAGAGACTAACCTCCTCATGTGCTCTGCTTCTAAAGCCTTCAGAACCATGCCCTGACCACCATTACTAATCCATTCACTTCTGCAGAGTCCTACAATCTAATCACCCCTTCAAGGCCTCACCTTTCCATGACCATAATAGGATTTCCCACCCTCAACAGTTACAGTGGAAATTAAGTTTCCAATACATGAACCTTGGGGGACACAACCAATCCTCAGCATCATGTACATTTTTTCTGGGGACATGAGCTTCTCAATGAGTTCAGTGACTCACAGAAGACTAAGCACTATGGGTCTGGACTTCTCCCCAGCCCCCAAGGCCCTTTCAGGACCAGAGAGGACCTGCACAGAGGCTCTTGGGTCTGCAAAGATATCTGGACTGTTCTACTGCAGCATCAGTACTAGCAGAGTTACAGCTTACCTCCAAGGCACCTCTAGGGCTTCTCTGAAGAAGCCTCCAAGTTCAAAGGCTTCTCCAGGGTCTGCTTTCTCCTAAACCTAGTGCTGCTGTCCCATCCTTGTGGGGCACTCTTAACAGGGAGCCCACACATTCCCTCTGCAGATCTCTCCCAACTTGATGAGCCCCAAGGTGTCCCAAGTGCTCCCCTGCCATCCAGGCTGCGCCCCCAGACCACCCCCTCCCCACTGTCCCGTGGCTCCATTCTGAATGTCTCTGTTGCTTGTCCCCAGGAGTCAGAGAAGCTGGAGAGTGTAAGTGCTGAACTGAAGGCCCAAATTGAGGAGCTCAAGAATGAGAAGCAGCATTTGATACACATGCTGAACCTTCACCAGCCCACGTGTATCGTCTGGGCTCAGAACAGGCAGAGTCTAGAAGATGAGAGAAACCTCTTTATCCAACAGATAAAAGAAGGGACATTGTAGAGGTAAGCAGCCTGGTTTGGGGGCAACTGGGGAGTCCTTATCGAATCCTCCTTTTACACCCAAAACCCTGAAGCCACTGGAGAGCTGACTTCCTGTGTACCTCTAGAATCCCAGCAGGAGAGAAGCATTGAGGCGAGAGGGCCCATGGTGACTCAGCTGGGCCTTTCCACTCTGCCCAGGGTGGACTTTGGCCTATGGCAAGCATATCTTTTGCCTCAACTCCAGGATTCAGGCCTTAACATCCTGGCCATTCTCAGATGTTCCAGATGGCTCCTGGTTAGGGTCCTGCCCAGCTTTCATCTGGATTCTGCAAAAACCAGGATGCCCACCATTAGAATTCATGCAGAAGTGTGTATACCTTGGATGGATGGGTTGGGTCATCTATGTCCACTGTGTCTGCCACTGTCACTTGTAGGAGTTGTGGAGTGAGGACAGCATTTAGCCAAGTTGTGCAGTGGCCAGAGTTGTGCTTTCTAGCAAATATACTGTTGTGTGTGGGAATTACTGTGTGCAAGGCTTTTGTTTCAAAACTAGGCACTGTGCTCTTTTGATGTCTGTTTCGCACAGCACTGGTGTGACATTTACGTGATTTTCCTCAGATCTGGTTTCTGAGAGTTTGGGGGATTGTCACCATGTGCAGTGTCTCACAGAATGTTCAGGTGGCCAGAAAAACATGTCAGCCCCTGGAGAACATAATCCTGCTGGTGTTAATGCAAAACCCATGGGCAGGACAGCAAGTCCTCTGTTGCAAACTCAGTTGCAACGTCACAGGAAGAAAGCAGAAAGTAAATCCAACTTCCAAAGGGCTAGGACTCCACACTTAGTGACTTAGGTCAGGAGTCATTTCTAGGCCGGAAGAGCCAAAGAATACTCCATTTTCCTTTCTTTGTGGTCGAAAACCACAGTCAGTGGAGACAAGTTTGAAGCCAGGTGATGCCTGGGCTTTAGTATTATTGGATGTCAATGGCATTATTTTTGTCATGTAGCTGTTTTAACAAATCTGGTTCAGAGCATTTGTTGCTGTGAGAAGTCACTCACACTGGCCACAAGGACTCTGGCTACTGTCTGTTAAATTCTGATGTTTCTGTGAAATACTCAGAGTGTTAAATCCTATTCAATATTATCATTACAATTTTCTGTAAGAGAAAATATCACTTATTTATCTGAGTGTTCCTGTCAATATAATAAATATTGGAAAATTTATCTGAGTGTTGTGCTGGTTTCTGTTCTTTCAAATCTGTTGGTTGTTGAGATCCAGTCATTCCCCACCCTTCTCCTCTCCATTACAGGAGGCGTTTAGCTTGAAATATTCCCCTGTGTTCTTTGGGGCATCACCGGATGGGATGGTTGACTTTCAATCTTATGCCTTAGTCTTTGGCCCCTGATGCTCAGTTTCTCACTGACAAACCCTGAAACACAACACAAGCACTAAGATAAATTTTTGATATAAAATCCGAATTGCTAAATACCTCAACTATCATCTTCTCTAAATGTGCAAATGCCTGAAACTTACACCGGTTGTTCAACCTGAGCCTTGGATACCTTACGTTCTGCCACAGAACTCCTTCAAAAGAATTGTTCACACGAATTACATCTGTTATAAGATCCAGATGTGTACCTCATAGTGGCAAATATGTATTTCAAATATTGGAAAGTAATGGGAAGGGGGATGGGGAGAAAAAGAATAATTTTAGACAGGATGGGTGTGACAATTCAAAGAAAGGTATTCCACTGAATCTTCTGGACTCTCCAGGGCAGGTGATTCCTTAGGCCTGGAAAAGAACTAGGCTCCCTTCTCTTTGCCTGTGCACATATATATATATAACACTCACAGGCTAGAAATAAAAAATTGGCATCTCTGCTACCAACACCTTTGTTCAGAGAAGCACTGGCTTCATTAAATGTTAGATTCAGCCACACGATAGTGTGCCTGCTTCTTTGAACTAGCACTTGTGACACAGGTGTTTTAATTTTGCTGCTTTAATTGCACATCAGGAGTTGTTCCTAATCTGTAAAGAGTCATCAGGAGTTAGTACCATTCACCACAGTAGGAGATAATCTACTCCTTTTGTTGGTGGAGGGAGAAACATACTTAGCATTTATCCTGTGGTTATGGGTAGAGGTACCACTCACCAGCCCTTTGGAAACTCAAGACAGTGCCACAGACAACAATGGATTAGAGAGGAAGGAAGGGGGGTGCCTGTGGCAAGAGAAATCGATCTGAGAAACGCACTGTGTATGGCTAGTGTAACTAAGTTTTTTCAACAAATGCTTAAAAAATAGTTTTGTTTTCTGTAGCCAAGTTTATGTTTTGATACTTTAATAAAGAAAAGTATGAATAGGGCCGTACAGGTACCACCCACCAGCCCTCAGGAAACTCAAGACAGTTCGTTAGCTGCCCTGGACAACACTGGATTAGAGAGGAAGGAAGGGGGTGCCTGTGGCAAGAGAAATAGATCTGAGAAATGCACTGTGTATGGCTAGTGGAACTAAGTTTTTTCAATAAATGCTTAAAAAATAGTTTTGTTTTCTGTAGCCAAGTTTATGTTTTGATACTTTAATAAAGAAAAGTATGAATAGGGCCGGCCCGTGGCTCACTTGGTAGAGTGCGGTGCTGATAACACACCAAGGCCGCGGGTTCGGATCCTATATAGGGATGGCCGGTTTGCTCACTGGCTGAGCGTGGTGCTGACAACACCAGGCTTAGGGTTGAGATCCCCTTACCGGTCATCTTTAAAAAAAAAAAAAAAAAAGTATGAATACATATGTATTGTCAAGTCATTTAGTTTATCTTGTTTCACATTCCAAGCAGAGGGAAGGTTGGGAGGTCTGAGAGAATAAATTTACATAGGGCCCCTACCAGAATTAAACACCTGGTTTGACAATGTCTTTGCATGGAGCTGCCTCCTGCTGGGGACGGTGACATCACAATGGCAGGGCATGGAGAGCTACTCCTCCCCTCTCCTGCCTTCCTCCTGTCCCCTGGCCTTTCCCTGAGATCTGGCCAAATACTGGTTTCAGAGTAAAGAGCGTCAAAGTGTTCTGGCCCAGGACAAGGTATTCTGGAATTGAACCCTTTCTCTTCCTGTCAAAAGCTGAAATGCTGACCATTTTCCATCTTTATCCTAATTTCCCCCAACGAACTTTGAATAAACCCTTGACACGCAAAGCCACACCCAGCTTTCGTCTCTCTCCCCAGGCCCATGCCCTCTGGTTGGGATCCAGTACTGTTTCTCTGCAGAGAGAGCGGCATCTTCAGTCAGGATCTGCCTGAAAGGAGGCCACGGCTGCGTGTTGAGCATCTGTCTTTTCTCACAGTGGCTTGACCCCAGAAGCTTTTCCAGGTCTCCTCAGAAATTGCTCTCAGGAAGGAATTCACACAAGTTCAAAGGACCATTGAAGACTAATGCTAATAATAACTAACCTTTATTGAGTAGGGCAACATGCTAAACACTTTTACATGCATGAGCCCATTTTATCCTCACGACAGCTGTTATCTTCATTGTTCAGATGAAGTGGAGAGTTCAGTAACTTGTCCTGTCACACAGTTGATCTTTCTAAAGCTGAAGCCTATGTTTTTAAACACAGTGGTTTCAAACAACAGTGTATATATACTTCTTTCTGTGTGTGTGTATATGTATCTGAGGTAAAATATATATATAACATATAATTTACCATTGTAACCATTTGAAAGTGTACCCATTCAGTGACATTAAGTACATTCACAAGGCTGTGTAATCACCACTATGTAGGACTTTTTCATGACCCCAAAAGGAAATCCTATACCCATTAAGCAGTCACTTCTCATTCACTCTTCCCTCCAGCCCCAGGAAACACTAATCTGCTTTCTGTCTCTATGGATTTGCCTATTCCAGATATTTCATATAAATGGAATCGTGATATATGATCTTTTGTGTCTGGCTTTCATTTAGCATAACATCTTCAAGCTTCAGCCATGTGATAGCATGTAATAGTACTTTATTCCTTTTTATAGCTAAATAATATTCAATTGTACAGGTACTCTGCATTCTGGTCATCCGTCCATCACTGGTGGTGCATATTTTAACAGAGATCTAGCCTTTATCCTCAAGGGGGTGAATCTCTAAGGTGGGATTTCAGGCATAAGATCCAACTGGTAGAAAAGAGAGTTGGGAGTGGGGGGTCCTTCTCAGAACTTTCAAGTACCTTGTTCTGTGGCATGGGAATGGTGACAAGGTGGGAGGCACAGTGGCACGTGCTCCCCATAGGTGCAAATGACTTCTCAACCACCTATGCGTGGTTGAAAAGAGAGTTGGGAGTGGGGGGTCCTTCTCAGAACTTTCAAGTACCTTGTTCTATGGCATGGGAATGGTGACAAGGTGGGAGGCACAGTGGCACGTGCTCCCCATAGGTGCAAATGACTTCTCAACCACCTATGCGTGGTACCGAGGTCAGTACAGGAAGGCGTTTGATCAGCTCCTGGAATTTAAGCCTACACCTCCAGTCCTGCCCTTCTCCCCCTCGGTCCCCACCAGACACCCAGCATTTCACTGGGCAGGGGGCGGGGAGCAAAAACTGGGGACCTTAAGGGGATGGCTGGGCTCCCACACACAGGGTGTTTGTAAAAGCCTGATGCAGGAGAGGAACCGAGGTGGACCCTGGATAGTTTAATCTACAGCTCAGTCCTGCCACTGTCTGAAGTGGTTGTCCTGGGTACGTACATACGTACGTGTACACACACACACACACACACACACACACACACACACACACACACACGGGATTAATTATGCAACTTCCCATAATGCACTAAATTGGTCTTCTTGAAGGCAGTTAAATCAGTTCAGCTTGAAAACATGGCCCAAGCTTTCTTTACTGGAGTGGTTCAGAACAAAAACGTTAGAATCAGCTAGCCCTGGATTCATATAATGCCTCCACCACCTGTGAGTTCTGTGAGTGTAGGTGACACACATCAATTTCTTTTCCTGTAAAGTGGGCACAGTAGCAATAATACTAAACTCAAGGAGCTCTTATGACAGTATGTGAAGAGTATAGTGCAGTGCCTAGGAGAAGCAATCTTTTTTTTTTTTTCCTTTTTGTCTTTTTTCGTGTCCGGCAACGGATCGCAACCCTCAGTGTTGCGCCTGTACCGGACCAGGACCGGCAACGGGATCGCAACCCTTGGTGTTGCTCCCACACCTCGCTCAGCCAGTGAGTGGGAACCGGTCTGTATGTGGGATCCGAACCCTCGGCGGGAGCGCCACCACGCTCCCAAGCGGTGCACTGTAGCAGTGCACCACCGGGCCGGCCCAGGAGAAGCAATCTTTAATGTTATTATTAAAGGTTAAGGTTACCATGAAAGATCATCATCCTCAACATCTACTGAAGTTTAATGGAAGGAAGAGCTAAGTATCAGGACTGCAATTCTAGGTTATTTGATAAAATTAAACCATGATCTCAAATGGCTCAAATTTTCCCATCATCTTGGATTCCTGTAGACTGTCTAGTGCTGAACCTTTTAAATTTGGTGTGAGGAAAGCATCCACAAAAAATTTTCCCGTGTGAAAAAAATTTTATCTTGGCACCCACCTGAGTGGACAGGGTGGGGTTGTCCTTTGTGAGGGTGGTAGGGTGTTTAGGGGGAGGATGGCGGCCCCGCCCAGAGGGGACAGAGGGAAGGATGAGAACAAAGGAGTATGTGACACTGACAAGGTCACAAAGGGCAGCAGAGTATAAATAGGGCTGCGCAGGGCTATAGGCTCAGAGTGTGTTCACCTCTCTGGCTAGGAGGAAAGTTTGGACACTGTCACATAGATAAAAAATTAGAGGTTCAGGGCAGGGAGTTAGACCCAGATGAAGTTTTCTCTGGCGCTCACTCTGCCTCTGCACATCTTTGAAGAGATTCAGTCTGCGATCCAGGCACCGTACAGAATCCCTACATCCACCATCCCCAATCCGGCATCTGGGAGGGAGCCTCAAGGCAAGACCTGCTGTACAGCCACCTGGTATATGACATATAGCCAACCACCTGGTATAGGACGTATAACCTGCCACAAGTGGCTGGCTGTACGTCGTATACAAGGTAGCTGGCTATATGTCGTATACCAGGTGGCTGTACAGCAGGTCTTGCCTATACAATGTATATACAATACTGCTGCTGCTCATCTGCCACCAAGGCCGAGGTAGACCCAGGGACCCTCCTTGCCAGTGCTGCTGCTGTGATT